CACTCAGAAGAATTCAGTAAGTTAAAAGCTATTTATTCACTGTCGGAAAAGTTTTCCGTATTGAAACTGATGGCAGTGATTCAGAAAACCAAAGAAGAGGCGGTTAACAAATAATTTGTAACAAAGACAGAGTAAATCAAAAGTAAAAAAAAAAACTTGAAAGAAAATACACTTTATAAACACAGATTTATAAAAAAAATACTCAAAAATTAACAAAATGAAATTTGAGTAAGAAGCTCTCAGCTGCGACAATTTTATTTATGACCACAGATCTGCCTATTCCCATAGTTTGCAGAATTCTACTCTGCCACTCATATAAAGCAACTGTACTGCCAAAGAGCTCTAGAAATAGAAGAAAAAAGACTGAAAAAAGTAATCAGTAAAAGTCTGAAATTTAGGTGATTATAGAGGACCAAATGGATTTCCGAGACAGATATTGGCTGTACTCGATGCATTGTTTACAAGCAGACAATTTTGGCTCTAATAATCGTAGTAAAGCCTCGTAAATTGTCGAAATCATTATTCAAAAATGTTTAGTCAAAGCTGTAAAACAAAAATAAAAAAAGCAAAATTGGAGGATAAAGTTGGTGATAAAACAATTTAAAATACGTCGATACATTTAACTTGATAGGCTGTTAAAACTTTCGTAGATCACTTGACAGTGTTTAGATGTTATGTTGTTGATCTATGGTATTCATAATCACCATTCTCACCATTCACTAAAAAGTGTTGACAGATTTACTGTTATTGTACAGGTGGACCAACATTTAATGCTCTTTCATATTTTTATCACTATATTTATTGCTTAAGCTTTAAAAAAAAAAAAAGATATATATGAATAAAGTTGCACTGTTGAGCGGCTCTGCAGTTCTTACTTTTGACTATAATTTCCGTACTTTTAACATAATTTACAAGTAATACTGTGTTAAAGTAACTAGCAAAAAAAACATTATTTTGATCTTAAATGTATATTTTTAGCATCTTCTCGTCACTTGTTTACCACAGTTTTTTCTTCTTCAAGATCATTAAGGTAATGATAAAAGCAGACAAACAATTATTCTCTATGTTTTTGAACTTAATATAGTTCTGGTATCATATTTAAGCAACTTGAAGATTTGATTTGAGAAGAGCACTACCTAATAATGCTTTACAGCATATTATTTGAAAGTATAACTGCGTATAGAGTAATTGTAAAAATCAGTTTTTTTTACTGCAATATTTAAGTGATTAAGAATTAACCGGCATATATCAAATTACAGAAGGTCAACGTATAAAATGTCTTTCACTATTTTTAGAGTAACTTCTGATAATTTTGTGTTTATTAAAGATAATAAATCAAAAGAAGTTTCTTGATGAGACCTATTCCAAAAATGTTAAATGTTTAGCGTCAATAAATTGTAGCATTACTGATCGTTAATAACTTATTGAAGTGTTATTAGAGTATCTACAATAATTAAAGGTTCTTTTTTGTCCTTCCAGTCTTTTTTTTCGGGTACTTTATTTCTTCTACACATTATCTAAAAGTACAGAATGAACATTGTAATGTGACATTTGTTGATGGCACTTAATTAGCTGTTAGATGACTCCCACCTACAAATCATACGGCAAAAGTTGGCGTCGTTCAACACAAATTTCTACATTTCACCGTTTTTTCTCATTGCTTTATGGCAGAAGAAAATTCTTCCACAAATTTTGGTTGATTTCAGTAATCTTTTTCTTCCATTTTTGATGGTAAAACAGTTTGATAGAGAATTTTTTTAGAAACAGTTATGTGCATTTAAATTATGACGGTTGTCACGTTAATGACATTAATTTAAGTTTACACCATTTTACTGCTATGAATGTTCTGAACGCTATTCTAGCATCACATTTATGTGCTGTTTTTTTTTTTTTCTTGGGTGACCAAATTAACGTGAAACTAAAATTTTTAATTTTATCGTTTTTTGAAAGACTGTAAATAACAGTGTATAGAGTAGAGCAATTTGTTAAGTTGCTTAAAAGGATTATTACTTAATTTTACCTGAACATCTCTACGTTAAAATCAAAACATAATTAGTTTTATTTAGCTAAATAAATTGTAATGTTTCTTCTTTAAAATAAATTTTTTTTCTTTTCTTTAATTGTGATAATTTAGAATTGTTATACCGAATTGAATCAAACTTCCTTCAGAGCTTGTCGTCTTGGCTACTAACACTTGTGGATATATCTGTAACTTACTGTAACATCGAGATTAACCGACAATAATTTACGAACATTTTCTCTGACAACTTTATACTGTACTGGTAACCTTCAAAGCAACTTTTCTTTTTTTTTCAACTTTTTTTTTGGTGGATTATATATTTGAGTTAATTAATTGTGGGAACTATGGTAACTGTAGGTAGTTTTCTCGCTGCAAAAACACCTCTTTTTGCTAAGGGTACT